TTGAGAGTTTGAGAGTACGCTCCAGCATGGCAGGGGAGTCTGCACAGCAGAAGCTTGAGGAAGCTGGCCACATTGTATCCCCACTCAGGAAGCAGAGGGGATGAGGAGATGAATGAATGCTCAGGCTCAGCTAGCTTCCTCCTTTTAATGCAGTCCAGGCCCCAAGCCCAGGGAATGGTGTCAGCCACAGTTACGTGCATCTTCCCACCTCAATTAACCAAATCAAGATAATCCTTCACAGGTGTTCTCAAAGGCCGACCTAAGTAACCCCTCACAGTGTGCCTTAGAGGCTTATCTATCTCCTATGTGCTTCTAGACCCTATCAAGTCAACAATAAATATTATGCCCCACAGTATCCATACCAATTCCTTTTAAATATAGACTTATTGAAATATAATTGACATGTAATAAACTCTGTACATTTAGATGATACAATTTAATAATTTTTCACTTCAGAGCTTTTAATCCATGAAATTTTAAGTCAAAATAACAGACATATATAACAAATTCAACAATCACATTTTACACCTTTTACTGTCCTTCTCGTCTTCTTTTCCTGTTCCTTCCATTCCCAGGAAGCATTGGTTATGCTTTTCGTCACTCTGGATTGATTACCATTCTCTGAAGTCTTCTTGTAAATGGACGCACAGTTTATACTTTTGTTTTGCCTGGCTCTTCTCACTCAGCATATGACACCTGGGAGTTATGCAGGTTGTTCATGTTGTGGATTTGGTTTTCATTAATTAATCCATTCTATTTACTTATGTGTTGATTATTTACCCATTTTTATTTTAATTAGAACTGTATATTTCAATAGAAATCAAAAGTGTATTACTCCTATTAGAAAACTACAAAATGTGCAATGTATGACATAAAATACCATACATTTACCTTGTTAGGACACTAGTTTCTAAGTTTTTGGCTACTGCCAAGTAAGAAGGCAGTATTTCACTTTTAGGATTTCCTGGGAAACTAATGAAATCTGCTAGTGCTTTAGCTCCCAGGTTTTGCTATTAAAAAATACATGTGAATTAGTCTCCATCCTTTAGTGATTAGAGAATAATAAAAACTTTGTTTTTACTGGAGAGAACACTGGATCACTCTCGGTACAGCAAGCAGATGTGACAGGCTGAAAATAGAAGACACATTTACACTTATTATTTTTAAAGCTACTTCATTTTTCTGCTTCTCAGTAACAATTTGTGATCAGGCTCTTTCTACTAGAAGCACCAGGAGTCAGGCTGCCCCCTCTTTTCCTCACTAAGGTATTTTGTTTTCAGTTTGGCCTGATTATTTAAATGAAACTATGAAGCTCATGGGGGGGAAATGCTCTGATTTGCCAATGTTATTTTAAATTTACAGAAACAAGTTTCAGCATCCATTTTTCCTTTTCTTCTTATATATTTTTATGCCAATGTAACTTTTAGAAATGAAAAAAGTGTAAGTTCCAATGTCTTTCAGTGTGTAAACACTGAAATTTTGCTATTTGACAAAGATGCCCATGTCCTGTAGTTGGCTTTAATGTTTGAGCATTAAAAAATTCCTTATGAATTTTATCATTAAAATGCAGCTGATCCAGTTAACTCTGGTTTTTATATGTTAAAATATGTTATTTAAAAGACAAGATGTCTACTTGGATGTAGCCAAGCTATGAATTTTTAAAATAATGAAAATGTTCTTTAGCCAAATTTCTAAGCTATCCTGTATAGAAAGAGACTTTTTTTCTTTAAATAAATGTATTGATGTGCTTTTGAGATTTTTTCAGTACACATTTGACTTTTAAAATTCAACTTAATTGACCATAATATAAGACTTGATTTGCTAACGCCTTTTGTTCTGTTCTTTATCTTTGTCACTTTATTACTTTAGTATCCTATTGACATTTTAATTTATTAATGAAACAGATATTCACATATGATATCTCTCCCATGTTTATCCAGAATAACCACAGTAATTTTTCTCACTTTTATTGCAAAAGGAAAAAGCACAGCTACAAGAATCTCAAAACAAATGTGTATTACACACAATTGTAAGACAAATACCCTTGTAACTACTATAAAGGTCAATAGAATTGCTTGTTACCCCCAAAAGACTTTTTGTGTTTCACCCCAACCATAGGCCCATTTCTCTTGCCTAAACCAAGCTGTTCTTCATTTTTCTTTTATAGTTTACCACCCAAGGAAGCATCCTTAAAGGGAACAGCACAGGCTTGCTTTTTATAATCTGCTGTGTCTTTCAATCTACACATTCCCTTACCATTCCTTTTCCTCCCTTATAATTTAGTTGTCAAAGCTCCTCAGTCATTTGACCCATAGCATTTTCTGCAGTCTGAATTCTGCTGATTATGATCACATGGTCTACTTCTATATGCCTCTAGGTCTTGTGTTTTTCTTGAAGATTACTAGTCATATTACAGGACCTTGACTATATTCATGTTTGCTTGTTTGTTTTGGCAAGGCTGCAAGTGATACTGTGTCCCCTCCTCAGCAAATGTATGTCTAGTCATCTCTTTGTGTGTGTGTGTGTGTGTGTGTGTGTGTGTGTGATGTTACTATCAGTTTAAACTCAGAGCCACATCCACCAGATAATTTGAGGGAATGCATACATGGAGATTTTCTTACTCTATCATTTCTTTGAGAGGAGGGCTGAACTGTATCCCATTACCTACTGCTTGAATAACAGTGGTGCAGAATCATAGAAAAAGCCAACGAGTGCTTCATTGTTGGTTGTTGATTTTTGGTTATCACTTTTCCAGATAATGAGCTGACTTCCTTTTAACCTCTACTCATGGACAGTTTTTGAAGTTGCTTTATTTGAATTTAGGAATTTAAGTATATTTAATGTGGTTGATCTATCCTAATTCTTTCCACTATTGAAAACAAAGTCTATGTTTTCCTATATTTGGCTAATTGGATCCATTTCAACCACATTCTGAGTTCCTTTAATATGACTCAAGTTTCAGTACCTGTGAGAACTTTTTTGCTTTCTGGTATGCTAAGCAGTTCCATCTGAGAATGAACAAGTTATGAATGTATCCATTAGGATGCTCTGAAGCAGTGTTCTGACTTGTAAATGAGGACTGAGGAATGCAAAGTAGCTGCAGGACATGCTGCCCTCTTTTTAAAAATAAACAAGTCAGTCACTGAGCCACAACAAAACATTATTTATAAGTATTACTGCACAGCAGATGTTGTGGTGCTTGCTGGGAGTAGAACAGTGAACACACGAAGTACACCAGGGAGTTTCCAACTTGGCATGAAAAATAAAGCGAGGTGAAGACCACGTCAAGTTGCTGTGCAGTGTGAGAACTTTTAGGAGGAAACCAAAGAGAAGTATTTAAAGATGAAGTGTAAAGCCTATTGGCTTAGAACTTGGTGGCTCAGGGTAATATTCATTCAAATTGTGAATGCAAGATAGAAGGAGGAGCATCCTGGGTAAGATCCTGAGTTCATTTTTGGAGGACTGGCAAGTAGAAAAACAAGAACTCAAAGAGAAAATTCACCTCAGGGTCACAGGGATTTTTCCTTCCCACTAAATATGTGGAACAAAATGTGGTCAAGAGAGAGGGTATGAAATTATTAGAATACAGTTTTAGATGTGGATGTGCACAAATCTTAGCATAGGTGGAACCTGACTCCTTTTGCTTAGCAAGGCAGCCAACAAGTCTATGTCAAACTGTCCCACAGCTTTTGGAAACGTGACCCTGACATGAGTCCTTTTGCTACCACTGCCACTTTTCTTCGGTCACAAGTATTCCCAACTTGGATTTTTCCCTACAGAATCCAAGTTTTGAATCTAGTATATAACCTTATAGAGTATACATGTCCTACCTGACTGGATTAATGTTCCTTTTTCTTTTGTTTTCATCACGGAGTCAACCTTGCTGCCTCATCTTGATTGTTGTGACTTTTATTCCCAGCACATTTTTCCCTCCATTGTACTATCTTCTTTTTTCTTGCTGACAGTCATACTTCTTTACCTGAAAAACTTCTGATTCTTGAGCCTGTCTTGCCATTTTTTTGTCCTTGTCAACAGAAAACACTGAAACAACTTTATTGGTGACAAACTCAGTAGGACTGAAGCCCAGATACTATTATTTGAAATTGAGCATGATGCATCATCATAATCTGATTCACTATATCAGCAAGAATTTTGATCTCACCATTTTAGAACAACATCGTAGGCCTTTTCCCATCCCTGACTCCAGTCATCTCTGTGGTACATTTCTGTTTCTGGAAACAACTGCTTTAAGACTGCTAATATAATACCTCAAAGGTAAATTCTGTTCTGATACAATATACGCAGATCAGATTTTATTCATCTGAGTAATGATGGAATCAGTAAGATACTAAGTTCAGGAGCTGGAGGATGGCTCAGTGGTTAAGAGCACTGACTACTTTTGCAGAGTTACCAGGTCAGAACCCAGCACCCAAATGGTGGTTAACAACTGTCTGTAACTCCAGTTCCAGAGGAATCTGACATCCTCTTCTGGCCTCCATAGGCATTGCACAACACAGGTGCACTTGCATACATGATGCATTACAACCATACACACAAAAATAAAAATAATAAAGAAAATAAAAACTTTTTGGTCTCTTTGAGACAGGGTTTTCCATAGCCCCAGCTGGCCTAGAACTCTCTGAGTAGACCAGGCTGGCCTCAGTCTCACAAAGATCCACCTGCCCGTGCCTCCCAAGTGCTGAGATTAAAGGCCTATGTCACCATGCCTGGCAAGACTTATAATTTGTGAACAGAACTTCTACTCTCTTAAACTGGACTAGATGGATATCTTTAAGTCTGAAGATGGTTTGTGAATAATTAATAAAGAAAATTCTTTTTTTAAAGGACACTGGGTTTTTCATCCTAGTACTAAACAACTGCCTAATGACCCTTAACACTGAGATTTGAA